CAGGAATTACCCGCACCAATTGAAACGGAAGTCGAGGTTGAGCAGGCTGTAGAAGCGGAAGAGGAACCACTGCCACCACCACCTCCGCCCATAACAGAGGACGATTTTAACGAGCACTATATAGATAACGAGAGCGAAAACGATAACGATAACCTATCAGTGTCCCTGGCAAACTTGGAACAGCCAAAGGAAGCGCCTGTCATTGAGGTGGCCAATTTCAGCAAGCTAATCGAGCGACGCGCCCAGGAGATCAGGCAGCGCGCCAAGGAGCAGCCAGTGGAACAGTCCCAGGAACAGCCGCAATCGTTTCGAATCATTGTCACCGACGCGCAAAACAACGTTATCCAAACGGAAGCGATTCAAGAGGAGCAGGCCCATTCAACCACAGCCGTCAACAGCAGCCAAGCAGCAACGACAGCAACAACAACTTCAGTGCACTCGAATTCCCAGCGTTCGTTGCGACGCTCCAGCAGCTCAGCAGGTGGCAAACCGCCGGAGCGTCGAGTGCTCAGCGCCGGTGCAGCCATTTACAAGGCACGTCCCATTAAGGTGCTGTCAACGGCCAGCAGCGATTCATTTGGACGACAGAAAATGTCACGACCGCAGATTTTGCATGTTGTGGACAGCAGCAGCAGCGCCAATGGAGCGGCCAGCCTGCGGCGACGCAGTAGCTCACGCAGCATTGCCAGCAATGTCAGTAATGGCGGCGGGGAAGTAGCCACCGAATATCTGCAAAAAGTGGACGCAGTGAAATGTTATTGGAACAAGCTGGCGGGCAATGAGCCGGCCAATCCTGAGACCGAGAAGGAGCTCAGCTCACGGCTGCATTTCCAGCTGGGCAACAAGGTAACGCCAGAGAATGAGAAGCCTCCAAGCGACAGCAGTGCGGACTACTGCAGCATCATGCCGCCCTCCATTGAGATTGTAGAGCTGGGCGATGGCGCACAGAAGGCAACAATTGTGAGTGCCGCACCGCAGGAGCCGCAGGGCGAGGATGATGAGGATGCGGCACAGTTTGATCATATACGCTACAAGGTGCTCAAGTCACAGCAGCTCATCCGCAGCAACATACTGACAGCGCGCAACAAGAAGGAGGCGCAATTTGATGGACTCATACAATACCTGCAGGATTACAGTTTTCAGGAGCTGCTGAGCAACAATAATGTGGTCATTGTGGAGCCGGTTAGAACCAAAATCGAGCGACCCTTAACAGTGGGTGCAGCGCAGACAGCACCACCCAAGCCTGCTAGGCTGGCAAGCACACAGCAGACCACTGCGCCCAAGAAAACGAGACAGCGCCAGGTAGGCGGCGCGGGCGCCAAGAGACACTTTTTCTATCAGCCCGTTAGGGTCAACAGGGAACTCTACGAGGATGAGTTGCCCGATCCGGACACGGTGCGAAATGTGCGTCGCTTCTTCGAGCAGAACGTAATGCCCACCCCCGGCCAGGGCATACTTGTGCAGTCCCAGCAAAAGTTTGGCGGCTCGGCTTGCCAGCTAAGTCCGAAGAGCCGTCGGGCACGTGGCTATCGCTATCTGACCATCGACACAAGCTATGGCGGCAGCTCGGCAGGCACAGTCGTAGCCGAGGAGCAGCCCAAGGGCATGGAGCTGTTGGAGGAGCACAAAGTTAAGCACTGGGACAATGCGAGCCTATCGAGCGGCATATCCAGCGGCGATTTGTCATCACCCTGCGGCGAGTGTCATAATCAGACAGAGAACATGTCAAAGGAATCACCAGTGCTTGCCTGCAAGGGTGTGCACGTTCTAGATGTGGTGCGGCGGCACAATAGCAATGCGGCGAATGCCAAGGCCAGAGCTAAGCTGGCGAGTCGGCGCACCTGGCGCGTGGGCGGTGCTGGAGCTGGTGACTCGCGTTACCGGCAAATTTATGAGCAGAATGTGGGACAGGCACAGCTGGAGGCGCACACGCAGGAGCCGGAGGATGATAATCATGATGATAATGAGGAGGACGACGACGATGTCGAGACGGACATGTGCGAGTCATATTATGTGAGCAATGTAAGTAAGAGATGTCCAGTGTCTGGCTGCGTGCAACTTGATGGACCATTACGCTTTAATGGCAGCACATTAAGCTGCCTTGGCCAAGCCCAATGCTTAACTCAATCCCAACCCCACTCTCTTTCGCTTTCTATACGACAGGACATACTGGCCAAAATACGCGAATGCGGCTCAACAGTTACCTACTATGGAGGCAGGGTACTGGAACGGCAGACGCCCCCAACAACAGCAGTGCAGATAAATCCGCAGTTGATTGATGGAAATTCGGGCAGTGGCACACGCTCTCGAGTGCGTCAAATCGAGACGTGCCATATATGTCCACCCAGTGAGAGCTGTAAACACGAGCCGGAGCAACAGCAACCGGACTCCTATCAGGGTAAGCGTGCGAGTTGCATGTCACTATCTACACTGCACTACATCATTGTCTTTTTGGCAGGCATTAAATTCAAGCTGGTGAAGTCCAACAGCTGCAGCAGTCGCCTGGAGCTGGCGGGCGCCGACGAATGCGACTCCATGCTGACGGACACTGAGGTGGTGCGCAAAATGGTTCATCATTTTGAGTGCAACCAGCCACCAGCTGATGGCAATCTGACCATCAACAGTCAAAGCACCGCTGCCAGGACGGCACAGCTCCAGGAGGCGACAGCCCGCCGACAAGTGACAGTAAATAATCACATCAATGTGCTACGGGAGGCGTCGACGTCGACGCAGGAGCATAGTGAAAGCCAAGATGTGCACGATAAGCAGAATGGAAACGGAACGACTTATCAGAGCCAGGCCATGAACATACGCCTTGACTTAAGTGCGGGGCGTGGCAGCAGCACTGATAAGCCCAGCAATAACAGCAAAGTATGTCGCAATAAAAATGTGGATCTGGCCTATACGTTGGCCAAACAGCAGCCGCCTCAGGCAGAAAAGACGCTTGTCAACCCAGGCACGCCCATTGCCAATCAGCGGCAATCACAAGCTCAGAAATTGGCCAAGCAATTGAATGCGCTGGATGAGCAGCAAACATTGCCGAAAATTGTCAAAAAGCCGGAAATCATGGCTCGTGAGCAAATCATTGTCCCAGTCGAGATTCATCAGACGGTGGCGGCGGCGACGACGGCGACGGCTGTGAGCCAGGAACGTCGTCTGAGCAATGCCAGCAGCAGTGCGTCCATTGTGGACAAGACCGTGGTGCGACATTATGTGGCCAATGATAAAAGCATCTACGAGCGTCGCAAATACGACGAAATTGAGTTCGAGGAATTCGAGGTATACGATCCAGCCAAAGAGCTAGAGCGTCAGCAACAGGAGCAGGCCGAGCAGACAGATCAGACAGAGCACTCCATGGATAAGCGACAAACAGATGGCGACCTCTATGACAGCCTGGACGATAGGATGTAGGACAATGCTCAATGGAAACCAAGCAACGACTTTTTGGGGTTTGGGTAAACGATAAGCCTAAGCTAAATATATATATGAAATATATAAACTATATAGATAAACTATATAACTAGAATTATATAAGCATTATATAGCTTTACAGGTAAAGCAAAAGCAAAAACAAGAGAACAGAATTATCCAAAAACTATATTATATAAACAATATTTTAAACAATACAAGGCTCAACTTTTATTTGTAGATTTACAGCCAATGACCAAATAAATAGACCATTTATAAATAATGAGCAGCGGCAGCTGCCGGCTAAATTATTTATAATTTATTTATAAACTAAAAGCTGTAAAAAATGTCGCCCGCAGCGAAGCGGGTGGCTTTTGTAATTATAGCTGACATTGCGGTTGCCATCGTTCGGCTCGTTTAGAGGGGGTTGGCGCAAGCATAATTGCAAACATAAATAACGTACGAGTTTAGCTAATCTGTAACTAAATGACAACTTATGGCACATTTTATTTGTAATAAGCAATCAATTAGAAAATTAAATGAGTAGTCTTCTTGATAGATAGAAAGGTATTGAATTGAAAGGCGCCTAAAAGTAGGCTAAGTCGAAGTGTCTGCAATTTGTACTTATAGAATTGCCCACTGCAATTGTCAAGAAATTCCACAGACGAGCATATATTTTAATCAAAATCAATAAAAACCTGTTTATTTTATTTTTCGACAAAGCAGCTGGCGAAATTATTTCAAGAGCTTCATCATATTAGCCAAGCACTTTTTTTTTTATTAAATTATAATACTTCCTCAATTGAGTCTAACCGTTTTTTCTAACGTTCAATTACTTATCAGATCTGCGTGAATTCTTTATTCTCTTGATGCGCATTTTGAGTTTCTTCTGTTTGTTGACCTGCGCCAACTTCGTACCTTCTTTTACAAACACCCTTTTCGGATTCTTAACATTGCTATATCTTTTCACATTAAATGGATTAAGTCCTAAGCTTTTCTTATGTCTCTCTTGTTTACGCTTTACTGCTTGACAAATACGCAAAGAGTCAGAACAGATTGTTTATCTTTACCTACAGATACTTACTCAATTCTTTTGCACTGAGAGTTCTAACACCTTCTCTAACTTCTTGTTTCTCACCTTTTTCACCTTTCTCGGCCACATTTACTTTGGTTTCTTGCTCTTCAAGCACAGCGTACTGTTTTTTTGATTGGACTAGACGGTCTTTGATTTGTTGAATGCGAATTTTGCTTTTTTTTAACTCTGTGCTAATGTTAATTTCCTCATCTTTAAGCCTTTGCTTGGCCCTAAAAGCGTTCATTCTATTTGCCAAGTTCATCGCCTCTATTTGGTAGACTGTAGAGTTCTTTGAGCGATCATCCGTTTCGCCATCATCCTTTTTGGTGGCTGCTTTAATTGATTTCTTTTGCCTGATTTCTTCGGCTCTCTGCATCCATACTGTAAAACGCAGCTCAAATAATTTGACCCCAAACTATGCTAACAAACCGAGCACTCGACTCGGAATCAATTTTCATATTTAAGCCAAATATTTACAGTAATTGTCATTGGGTAAACATTTAAGAGTTTCTCTTACCAGTGGTCGGTGATGCTTTTTCGTGCTTGTCGAGCTTTTTCCGCAACTTCTCATCATCATCCGAATGACTTGACGAACTGAAGGTTCTGTGCTGCTGTTGTTCATGGCCAGGCCATAAGTGCTGTGCGCCATGGGCATGGAAAGATAAAAAGAAGAATGATTAAATTAATATTAATGAATGCATTACGGCTTATTGATTGTGCCTTTAATTGACCATAGATCTTATGACTGCCAAATAGCATTAACGTATATATTTATAAAAGGCCAGAGTGTGAATAACATCACCATCCTGGCTGTCTAGCTGCCTATCTCATGTGTGCCTGCCTTGCATGTCTCAACCGTTCCTAATTAAGTTAAAATGCTCCCCAGCGAAATCACGTGTCTTCCATAACGAACAGCCAAGGGTGGGAGAGCACAAAGACCACAAAACTGAACGTAACATCATGCCTTATTTCAACTGGAGCAGCAGGTATGCCGAGGAAGTAAATTGCTACCTTGGGGGTGGGGAGGGGCTACTGTACAATGTTTGCATCAGGTTGGGCACATTTCACGCCCAGTTTTCATCAACGGCTTCAAGCACATTCTCTTTCTTCCTTTCTCTCACGCTCACTCGCCCCGGGCTTACACTCTGTGTATGCCTACGGTCCACCTTGCGTATGAGCAATCTCACGCACACAGCACAAAAAGCAACTGGAAAGTATTTTTATTTTATTCGAACTCCAGTGGGAAAAACGCAAAATAAAATCGAAACTGAAACTGTTTACCTTGTCATTTTACCACGTATACACGAAATAAACGAAAGACGATCCAACAGAACTCACAATAGACTCATGACGCGACGCATGACACAGAGCGCAGTTGAACTAAATATTATATACGGGGTCAGGGGAAATTTTGGCAAAGAGATAACAATCAAAAATAATGATTTCCTTACAATGTTCAAACTATTTTTTAACAACTAACTTTAAATTGGATTTACTGAAAATGAAAACATTCTTCGAACTTTTACCTGAACCTGTACGTACTATTTCGAAAAACTATTTAGTTGAAAACATTTTCTTTTTATTAGGCACTGTGAATATGTAAAATTAACTATTACTTATAATTATTTATTATAATTTTTATTTTTCTATTTCAAATTGTGATTGAATGTAAGAACAAGGTTCGAACCGAAACCCTGCTTCATAGGTATAAAAACCGGCTTCATTCAACACCTGTTTCTAGCTGTTAGAGCACCCCTCGTTTTATTTATTTTCCATATATATACCAATATACACGTTCAAGAAAAACTGGCATTGCATAGCATTAGGAGCGTGTGCAGCGGACTAACGATATGTGCCACGGGTCGTCTAGGTATATGTGTACTGATTGGATTTTACGCTCGACTTCAATCCAGCGCTTCAATAATTCAGCAAGCTCGCAATATGGCAAAAAGCAAGGGGTCGGCGCAGCTGAGTAATTGAAATTTAAATAGTAAATAAATGAGGGAAGAGTCGAATGCGTGGCACACACATAAAAGTTGCAGCAGTTGAACATAAATCAAGCTCTCGCATATTTCTCTCTTTTGAAGCTCTGGGATTTATGATTTGTGATTTGTGTTTGCTCTGGCGCTTGCGGCACTTGAGGGGCCGCTGCTGGCAGTGGAATAACAATTTGACAGCCTGTTCCAACAATAACGAGTCGCATGCAATAAATGATAGATTGAATGCAAAGGTGACAGCTAAGCTAGCACAAAAAAAGGCCGGAATATCAAATAAAATTCAAAACTTGGCAAATTGAGTTAGCAAGTGTGGCCAAAACTGTCAGCCAATATTAGAAGTTAACAAACGCAGCGTTTCTGAGGCGCATAAATTTAACATGCTCCGACAGGCAGAAGAGTCGCTACGGTTGCAACACAACCAAAAAGTATGCCACACCCGGCTGTTGTTGCTGTTGTTATTTTGGGGCAAAATGGCAAAAGTTTTTATGATCATCCAAGTAAATTGAAATCACTGGCGCTCGGCATGCTGAAACGCTGCCCTCTGCTGAGCTTATGGCCTTAAATGAAAATGAAAATGTTTCATTTCATGAAGTACACCTGACGAGCTGAGCTGGGGGCGGCAGCCGCAACTTGTCTAGCGCGCAGAAAGTTAATTTGTGTTTGGGGGCAACTTTAAAGGACGACCAAAATCGCCAGCTGTCAAGATGCCAGATTACAGCACAAATATGCACATGGGCGTTGCCTTTGCTGAGCCTTTGCGACAAGTCGAAGGAATTGCTTCATAATGTGCAGAACAATGCGGCCACTTGCTCCGCTTGCGGCACGGAGATGAGCTAATTCAGGCCTAAGCAAGCGAAAACAAACAACAGACAGCAGACAAAATACACACGAAACACACACAATCAAACAATGGCGGGCTGAAAATAAACGACTCAACTGAACCGAGCTGACAAAAGAGCTTCCAGCTAGGGGTGCTGCCAGTTGAGGCATAAAGAGGCAGGCAGCCTCGACTATAATAATAACTAGCATAAGTGCAGTCAACATACAAAGTTATGCACGTGTTCCCAAAAACACCATCGCCACAATTCAGACAAATTGCAGACAACAGAGTTTGAGCAGCAAGCCAAAAGTTGTCCAGGTCCAATCTGGTTGAGTCACGCAAACTAGTTTAAGCTCTTAAAACCATTTAAACTTTTAACTAGGCTAAATAAATGATATAACGTTTGACAAAATGCACGCAAGCTAGGCATGGCATACTTTCAGGCGCATATTAAAACAGATTGCGTCTTGATAGAATTAATCAACTACAATTCATTCATTTTTTCATTCACCTTAACCCTTGTTAGTTAAATAAAACTTTATTTATGCAATGCTTTTATAACTCTTAAATTAATAAACTTTTTAGACAAATTCTGAAGTGTTGAAAAGCCATAAGCTTGATTTTTTATTTACTTCAAAAAACATCAAAAGTTTGTCAAACTAAAGGCGACTTTCATTCGTGGAACACAGTGTCCAACAAGGGTACGAAATTCAAAGTAGGGGTTGAACGAAGCTGCACAAAAATGTTTACTGTGCCGCTTCGCTTTTGTTACGTTCCGTCTGCCCCCGCGCACACGCCGTTGCACTTGGCACGGCTGCGACAAGTTGGCTTTGTGCCAATTGCTTGGCAACGGTTAACAAAGTCGCGTGTCAAGTGTCGCATGCGGGCCGAGTATACCCTTTCAAGCAGCTGTTGTTGGTCTTGAGCCTGTTAACGCCTCTGATTGCCATTGAAAGCGTAATTAAAGCCAACAAATGGAAAACATAATTCGCCCAACACTTATAAAGCATAATTGAAGCTCAAAGCGAATATAAATGACTCGTAAAAATAGACACAACATAAAAAAAAGTGCAATAAAAACGTCATAATAAAAAAAAGCTGCCATTAAATTGAGCTTGTTTTATATACACCGGATGTGGCACTGTTCCTCCCTCGCCCTACAAATGCTGAGGGCAATGTATCATAAACGAGATTAACAAATCAAACCGCATTCGAAGCTAAAACTGAAAATTCGAGCTCAATAAAAAATGTGTTCATTTAAGTAAAAAGTGATGTAAATATATAAAACGTAAAATAAATGCTGTCTCGATAAATTTCTATAAATATAAAACCCAAAAAGAGAGCAGCTAAAAAAATAATAAATTACACGCGTGAGCAACGGGAATAAATATATACACACAGATATATATAAAGTATATTTTAGTAGTTTTTTCAGCAATGAGTAAATAGAAATATAAGAAAATATGTTCAACGTGTAAACATTTAGGTAGTTGAAATGCGAGCAAGAGCAGGTAAATGAAATGGGTAAACAACTTGTGGAAGATTCGCAGAAGCAGAAGCTAAACAGAAATGGCAGCCAGACAGACGGAGAGGGACTTTCAGAGATATTAACGAAAATGTCAGAAAATGTTTTGCGCCAGCCAAAAAAAAAAAAAAAAACAGATAAAAGCAATGAAATGGGAAAAGCAGACAAACTAAAATTAGTATGCGAAATATATACACACATACAGTCGAACATCCATAAAGATACCACAGTTCAACGCAATGTATATTAGAAAACGAAACGAATTTCTGCGAACAAATCAAATGAGACGCATATAATGAAAGAGTGCAAAACGTTTCGACGATTTGTCGCCCCAGCCATAAGGCAGGCAGCTGTCTGTTGCGGCTTGCTGGTTTTGGTTAGATAAAATGGCCAGCTGCCTGTCTGCGTTACAAGCTGCAGACATGGCCAACATTTGTGGCCATTTGTGGGTGGCAAGCGGCAAAGATGCGTAAAGTGCGCGCTAAGCTGGTGGCTAAACTTTAGCCCCGACTACTGCCTCAGTCCAGCTTAGCTACTTCTGTATGCTATTTATGCAGCTCCTTTGTAGAATATGCTTTATGGCCCATTTCGGAATGTTTCGGCGCGCAGCGCCTAATGCACGTTATGGGAATTGTGGGACGCATTTAGCTAAACACATTTGAATTATTGTCTTTATACAATGGCTCCAAGCTGGCCAGCGGGGCGTATGTGTGACAATGCAGCATATTGCGTATACGTCACGTGGTGCGGCACATTAATGTTTTAGTCAATTTTCGCAGCAATTACATGCGTTGCAGTTAAAAGCAAATTATATAACCAGGTAGCGAAGCAGACAGATATAAATAGAGTTAGAGAGAGAGAGAGAGGTTTTGAGAGTGTGAGGGTCTGTAGCTGGCAGCGGAAAGTTTTTTAATTAAATGTATTCAGCTTATTGAAAATGCAAGTTAATTAAATTGCAATTTCAATTAGAGACTAGGCGGTGCGGCAAAGCAACTTTGAAAAGCACTCGTTATGGGCTTGAATGTGTCTCAAAAAGTAGCATTTGCCTCGCAGCAAATGTGAAAAGCGGCAATATTTACAAAGTGCTGGCCCTGCGCCAATAAAAAGTGCCATGTGAAGCAGCCAAGTGGGCGGGCTTCGCGCGGCAAGTGTCTGAAATAGGAGCGTATAGAACGCATCAACAAATTGAGGCATTAAAACGGGCAAACAATTTAAAGGACGTAAGCTGATGCCCGTTATCTGAGCCAGCATTAAGGATGCGCGTTAGCGCGTGCCAAGTCGCACAGTTTAACAACA